ATAGCTATACAAGAGCTAGCCGTTCTTAATTTTGAATTGAGAGACTAGAGGAAAGGTAGTTAATCTACAGCACACACCGCCAATTTTTGGGCTACTATAATCAAATAATTGGATTTCATCGTCACTCTTATAACGCCTCCAGAGTCCGAAGCGTGATACCATAATAGCGTAACACGCAGTTGGACGTTCAGGATAACAATCCGGCACGCTAATTACTTAGCCACCCCCGGTCCTGATGAAAGAAGGCAGCTCAATTCTTCTTACTCGTAGTAAATATGTTTTAGAACATTCTGTTATATTAGATACAACAAAATCGCCATTGAATAGTAGAATAAACAATAATACCGATTGTGACGGATTTATTATTATATATTTATTTTAATATCAACGTTTGTTTAGATTAAGCTTATATTTAGAAATATGCATAGCTTATAGTGTTAAATATGTATTGCAAAATCCCGCCTGTTCTCTGAAGTTGTAGACGATTCTCGAGTGTAAGAATCAACAATATATGTATGTACGTTTGTTTGTTTGTTTGAAATTAAGCACAAAGCTACACAATGGGCTATCTGTGCTCTGCCCACCACGGGTATCTAAACCCGGATTCTAGCGTTGTAAGTCCACAGACATACTGCTGTGCTACTGGGGGGCTTGTATGTACGTAAACACTTAATGCAGCTTTGTATTGTTACGTAATGTGAATTTTCGAGAAACTCTTCCCACGCCTATAAATATAACCAACGCGACGCACCAAAAAAACAGTATATATTATTAGTTTGCTATAGTCAGTGTGCAATAAACTTCGGAAGCTATAACTGTGATTGTTATAACGCTTATCAATCGGGTAAGTCAAGGTAAGAATTCATATTCTTAAAGGTGGAAATGTAGAATAAATAATAGTTCAAACTGCTTCTATATGAGGCCTGAAAGAAGAATGTATATACATACATGTCTTAGTGTGTATTCAGCGTAGCCCAGTTTGATGTTTCCTAAGCTGGTAGTTACTGTATATTCAGGATTATGTATGCCATTAAATGTGTTGGCCATGTGTTCGTAAAATATGTTTTACAAGGTAATCCATAATAACAGCGGCTTCTCTATCTGAAAGTCAGTGTACAAATATTTCGAACACTAGCAATGAAATAATAGGTTATCATTCGACGTTGTTAATTAAATTTGTTTAACAATATCATTTCACTGTGTATAGCCTAAAAGAGAGAGAAAAGTCTTCCTTTTCATCATAAATATGATGTCTCGATTTCAGCTTTAACTCACTCTTCTCGACTGTTTTCTATTGAAGGAAATCGATGAGGCATTATAATACGTTCAGTCTTCTGTCCCGTTGTTTGTGATTTCCCCTAGCGGATTTGGCTTTACCGGTTACTCGCTATCACTCATATGTGTAATCAATACACGCGTAATAAGTCAATTTATTGACTTTTGAGGTAGAAAAAAAGGCATTTCTTAATTAAATACTTTGTCATGTGATTATTCCTAAATAACAAATAAATATACAGAGTAATATCCAACTTAAAGTTGTGATAAATTAGTATTATCAATAAGTCTTTGAGTATTTTAACTGTGGAGTAGTTTGATATCGCAATAAATTCCTTGTAAAATTATGATAACATGAAACAGAAAAGCTCAAAAATTAAATCCATGATATAGTTTTATTGTTACACGATCCCTTATTTTACCTTATTACATTACGCTTGGAGCATAAGAAACAGGTTCGGTTTGAAATAAAACATTAAGACAGAAAAGGCAACAATTCTTAAATCCATTTTTAATCACTTTGCAGGTTACTCTACATGTAGGCTAATTTATCTATAATAAAAGTTATATTTTGACCTTATTTTTTACTTTCATGAGAAAATAAATTCGTGAAATATGTCAAAAAGTTTTTGGATTTTTTGTCGTTACCTTTGTAACGAGAAGTTCTACAACCTATGAGCCTGAAGTTCGTATTATATTCTCTAAACAATGCTGTAGCAGAAATGAAGGCTCGAAATAATGACATATTTCCTCTACATTCAGAAACCATCCATTGTTGTCTCGTAATTCGCTCTGCTCGACAGTGTTTGTGTACCAGGATGTGGTACCATGGCAGCTCCAACCGCGCGAGCTCGCTTTTACTGATCGATACCGACTAGCATGGCAGCCATGAACAAGCTGGCATAGCTAAGTTAAGAATTCTTCTGTGGAGAAGTGGGAGATGCTACTTTCGGGAAGGCCGGGAAGTTGTTCAACCTGACTTGTGGTTGTTTTACTACGTATAATAGTCACCATTCATTCGGAAGACGGAATATGACAGCATGAATAAGGTGAGTCATATAAAAAGTCCTTATATTCACGGTGCCCGTTATCTCCGACATTAGTATAAGAAGACAACGTCAGCTTTCCTCGGTGGTATGCACAATATTGTTATCTTGATATAAATGTTTCTCTTTTAGCAATTTATTAGACATATGTATGTGTGTTATGTTTATTTACATACATGGAGAGAGAGATCGTTAATGCTAGAACATCATCTACTCTTTTCCCAATGATAGATACAAAAAGATTATCTTGTCTTGGTAGACATCATATAAATCATGCAAATTTAATTCTTCTCGGACCATTATAATGAAAGAGTAGATGATGTTCTAGTCCCAATGATAGATACAAAAAGATTATCTTGTCTTGGTAGACATCATATAACTCATGCAAATTTAATTCTTCTCGGATCATTGGTACCTAGCATATTGGAATTTATCTGCATAGATTTAAAGGCTTCATAGTAAATTCAAAGGAATATTATGAATAAGAAATTAGCAAATTATTGATTTATTAATAGATTCACAGATACAAACTCCCTTGTCTGGTAGGATCCCCCTGATGGCTTAGCGATAAGTCTGAGAGCATATATCACTAAAAATCAGGTTTCGATATCTGCTGTGTGTATCTGTATACTTACCAACAAATAAATAATCATTCAGTAGGTGTAGCATTATTGTTGATAATAATGATAATAGTTTGCAGTAACTGTCAGTATAATATGACTGTTGATAATATTGATAATAGTTAGTAACTCTAGGTATAACATTATTGTTGATAATAATGATAATAGTTTGCAGTAACTGTCAGTATAATATGACCGTTGATAATATTGATAAGAGTTAGTAACTCTAGATATAACATTATTGTTGATGATAATGGTAAGAGTAGGAACTATAGGTATAACATAATAATAGTAATAATACATAGTAATAGCTGTAGCTATAATATTACTTTTGGTAATAATGATAATACTTAGTAGTAACTGTAGGTATAATATTACTTTGATAATAGTTAGTAGTAACTCTAGGTATAACATTACTATTGATCATAATGATAATAGCTAGTAGTAATTGTAGGTATAACATTGATGTTGATAGTAATGATAATAGTTAGTAACTGTAGGTATAACATTACTGTTGATAGTAATGATAATAGTTAGTAGTAACTGTCGGATGAGAATCGTCTGCAACCTCGAGAATATAATTCTTATTATTCGTAATGAAACCTTATTAAATTGAATTGATTTAATTTGTATTAATTACGTCTATCTATCGCATTTACAGACACGGATTTGTCAGAAGCTCTAGAAGCTTTATAAGTGGGTTACCCAATTGGCTATTTACGCTCTGTCCAGCGCGAGGTAGCGAACGCCGTATTCTAGCATATTGCTAAACCACCACTGGGGATATTTTTACTGAACATTACATTAGTTTCCTTGTTTACCGAAACGTTTTGTAGAATAAGTTTAATATAACATAGCGAATAATTCATTTTTCTTTTCTTCAGTATACGTCAAGTTAATTAGTTGAAAATTAGGGTTAATTTAGGCTTTATGAAAATGTGAATTAACCTGTATTGTACGATAAGGATAGATGATCCTGATCCTTTAATCAAAGAGTCTCATAATATAAGACACTAGGAGACGATGTGATCAAAGATCTCTGCATATATCAAATAAAAATAAAACCCTTAAGTTAATCCTGACACGTATTTCACCACTTCAGTGTTATTCTCAATTAAAAGGAATACAGTTTGTGGATATTCTCAGAAATTTCCTCTTCTATCTATCGCTACCTTATGTCTTTTTTATTATATAAACAAAGCTAATTTAAACATTCAAACATGTTCCAGCCGCGTTACGCGTCTAGAGAACATACACAACCTTTTTTATTATATAAACAAAGCTAATTTAAACATTCAAACATGTTCCAGCCGCGTTACGCGTCTAAAGAACATACACAACCTTTTTTATTATATAAACAAAGCTAATTTAAACATTCAAACTTGTTCCAGCCGCGTTACGCGTCTAAAGAACATACACAACTTTTTTAGATATCTTCTAACTGTAGTTTTACTACCTACTGTTAATTACAATATACACCCACGAGTTTGGTAATACCCACAGCGCAAAACGTATATTTCTGTATTCCGTGGGCGCTTTATGAATTACGCACGATAAAATACCAGAAACATAATAGCGCTGGCTCTTCAAGGCGGTTTCTAACATAAATATATTGCATAACTATATCTGTAACGAACAAATGTTTAGATAGAGAGAGATCCTTCCTCCTTCGCGTCATAAAGGTAGGGAAGGAACTATTTGAATGTTAGGGACCAAATAGAAGGATTGTCAGTAATTAATACGGACTTAGTGTGCCTTGTCTTTTATAAGCAAAGTTTTGTAATAAACGAGAAGACATGCAACAAAATTAAGTACCTAAGGTAAGTTTGTTAAGTTAAATTCATGCCATGCCGGTGCTGAAATCCGGTTTCAATGGCACAAACGGATGAGAATGGTAACACATTGCACCTGGACAGGATGTCAGTTCGAGGTGAACTCCCACCTATACCTGCTGGTACTAATTATACAGTCGAGTAGACTGAAACAATTGAGGTGAGTTGTCTTGGTCAACGAGATGTCGCGAGCAAGCCTCGAACTCGTAACCTGATACAACGAGCCAAAGCACTGACCACGCTAACCCCGTTGAATTTGCGGCAGTAGGATGTCAATCATTGTCATGGTTAAAAGTCAACACGATTATCTAAATCTAATTGTTTATTAGTAGCTATTTACACATATATATGTATACATATATTTTATTACTAGCTATTTACACATATATGTGTATACATATATTTTATTACTAGCTATTTACACATATA